TTTTTTTTTAATTACAAACCATTGTTTAGTCTATTAACAAATAATTTTGTTTAGCGCGGTTATTAGTAGGTAATATTAGTACGGATAGGAAAAACCTGTTTGAAAGAATGTCATACAAAATATTTTCTCAGTTGATACCGCTTAGCTGGATAAACGCTCTAAATATCGGGATTAAAACAGTGTTGAGCAATTTCTCAGAGTTCCTCCGCTTATTGAACATTTGCTTTGCTTTTCTCTACTCTGATTTCAAGTCAATCTTGAGTTTCGCTAAAAAAAAGTTTACAAATTTACAAGGTATTATTGGCAATTATTCGCACTGTTTAGTCTCGCTTTTAAAAATCCGTGCCCCAGTTCCCTCCAGATTCAACTATATTCTATTTCATCGTACCTTTTAGATTTTTTTGTTTCACTAATAATGAGATTTGTTTTAATTTCGACATGATTTGTTTYTTCGTTAGACAAATATATTTGTGGAGTTCGGTATTTCTTTGTCCATGAATACGTAGAATTTGTTACTAAGGTTTTTGCAAAAGATACTAACTGAACAAAAAGAAACCAGTTATTAAGTGATGTTTAGGGTTGTAATAGATAGAACTGAAAATTGGGAATCTATTTGCAAGYTGAATAAACAGATAGAAAATTACCTTGCGATGTGAATTATAATAACCCAATATATGAGGTTAGMTGACCATATCGAGAATACTTCCTAAGATCGACTTGGAATTTAGAAGTTGATTTTTGCGGAGGTAAGATAACTGGAGAACCCGGAGAAAAAACCCTCGAAGCACAGGAGAGAACRAACAAACAACTCTACTAACATATGAAGCCGAGCCCGGCAAGCCTTGCACCCGGGTTGCATTGGTGAGAAGGCAACATCTTAGCAGCGTACGACAACCGTGCTTCCCTTGTATAAGTGAAAAGAAGGTATAAATGAAGAAGAAAGAACTGAGGTCGGAAGAAAGGGATGAAGGAAGGAAAGAAGAAGCAAAAAAAGAAAGGAAAAAACATTAAAGGGACAATAATGAATGCAGATTAATCAGGGGGGAAAAACATTTCTGAAAGGCTGCTTACCATCAATATATACCGGAGAACATAGACAAACGTTCTATTAAAAACAGGGCCGTAACTAGGCCCCCCCCCCCCTGCAAAAAAGCTTAAGGTCCGCTCATCAATCTCCTTTTTTTTTTTGGTTCTGCTTTCTTTAGGTTACCTTTTTCTTTCTTTTTTTCGATTTTATTCGATGTGCACCCTCCCTGTAAAAGTTCTGGTTAMGGCCCTGAAAAATAGTGAATTTTTRACAATGTATCCTGTTCCAGAAACAACTAGAAGTATTGTGCTCAACATCGGTATCTTGTTGCACATCATGTTGACATTGGAGTAGAGTTTCCTTTGCTCCTTGCTGCTCGGCCGGTTGTGTTTTTCCAAGGAACACTTTCAAAATCAAGGAGAATCGATATATATACCTCACTGACTATAGGTGCTACGGCTCACCTTTAAGCGATTCGCGTTTTTATTTCGTGACTCTTGTTTTACTGATAGTAAAACAGCCAACATTGGTTATAAAATCCTTTCGTTAAAGTTTTCTCAAGATGAAACTCATTTTCATCTCTTAGTTTATTTGACAGCGTATACCAATATTTTTAAACAGTTTTTAGTTCAATCACACWTTGCGCTCTGTTAGTGGGTATACACTCTTTTCATTAAACGCAATTAACGTTTGGCAATTCTCCAGTGCATGATATTAAAGAACTTCACGGTAGAAATACGTGCTGTTTAAGTTTGATTTGTAAATCGAAGAGCTCAGCAACTCTTAAATCAGAACAATTATCCTAAGCCATCATACATACATATATAAAACACAAATCTAGTAATCTACTCGAATACACTTTAGACGCAACTCTAAACCTATTCACTCGGGCTTCTTAAGAAAAGAGTTTTGAGACAAGCGTTATGGAAGTAATAGATTTTCCCTCTACGATAGCTTTGAGGGAATACTATGCAACACAGAAGCGGCTTAGAGCCCAGAGGACGATTCCTATAAGGGACAAACCAAGAAAAAAAAGTTTTGCCTCGGGCAATGATAGGAAGCCCAAGTACTGAAAATTATTAAGTATTTTCCTAGGACGGTTATTCTTCAGAAGATAGTCTTACTTTTATTTGAAGAGAATTGTAAATTAAAATTAAGACGGGCTATTCAATGACGACAAACCACGAATAGATTTTTTACCTCGGGCATTTACAGGAAGCCCAATTAATGAACATTATTTATTCCCTCGGACGGTTGTGCTTCAGAAGATAAATCCTACTTTGAAAGAGAATTGTAAATTAATAGTAAGACGGGCTATTCACTAGCGATAAGTTTAATTTTGCAATTGCAAACGTGAAAATTATTTATCTTATCAAATTATTTATTAAATATCTTCGTAGGTGCTAACCTATATTCATTATTCTTCAGAAAAACATGTTTTTCTTTTCTAAGCTGAGAGCTTTTAATTTGGATCGTGTACCGCCACCTGTTGTTCTAGTTTATGATTWGCATTCTAATGGTGTCCATAACTAGTCTCTAAATCTGTAAAATGAGAGCTTATTTACAGTAGAGTGCATACCATATATCCGTTAAAAAGTTAACTAACAAAATAGTGCAAAATTTTGAAGGTCTACGATCTACTGAGGTCTACTGAACTTACTAATTTGTGCAAATTTTTGAAATTTCTTACAAAATCTTTAACGGATAATATATGGTTTGCACTCTATAAGTTCACATTTTATTTAGGTAAAGATGAAAAAGTATTCCCCATTTACAATACATTAGTTCACTGGTCAAACATAAAGCGCTCATGCGAGGCGCCAAGGTACTCTCAAAGGATTATTCAAATTTGCTTTTTGCAACCTCGACTGAATGCTTTGTGTTTGACCAGTGAATCGATTTATTGAAAATGGTGAATTTGTAAATATAAGATCTAGAGAATGTACGTTTTCTCGCAGAACTTGRTAACGGGGTGGAAAGGATGCGCACTATTTTAACAAATCGTTTTCTTATTTTTCGTGGCCGTTTGATATTTTAAAAGCTCAGTCCCATAAAAATATCATGCACTCGTCTTCGAAACATAGGGTTGTTCCTAAAATTTTACTAGTTTTCGTTTTTGCTCAGTTCGTGCTTAAGGGCTAACTGAAATGGAGCAATGTCCAGTGTTGAGTAGATGACGTCACTGACTCCTTTAAAGATCCGTAAAAATATAATACTTCCCATCGGAATATCTAGAGAAACTTTGACCATTAACTATAATAATTATAATAATAATAACAATTAATATTAAAAAGAAGAAGAATCATGTTAATAATAATGAGGACAATAATAATACTTATTGTATTGTTTTTGTTTTTTTTGTTTTTTGTTTTTGTTTTTGTTTTTTTTTCTTTTTTCAATTGTCTTCCAGATTATAATGAGAGTTCTGAATCAGAAGAATCAAACACTGATCAATCAGAACTGGTTCACGCAGAAGAAGAAGAAGAAGAAGAAGAAGAAGACGATTCATCTGGAAACGACAACGACAACAACAACAACGATGGTGAAATAAAACGAGTATGCAAGAAAAATAAAGACCATATAAAAATCTTGAAGGAGAAAATGACAGCAAACATTTTGGGAGTAAATAAGGGTAAGAATTGTTTACTTTCAAAATTAGAATTMCATCTTGTTTTAAAGAAAATTCGAGGGTTTTCCATCAGGTTTATGGTTCTAATTCCTCGCCAAAACCCCAAAACCGTGCTCTAACGTTGATCAGCCCAGAGGTTGTTTCAGGGTTCTATCTGTGAGTTAGCCATGCCCTGACTTAGATCAGCCCAGAGATTGTTTCAGGGTTCAATCTGTGAGTTAGCCATGCCCTGACTTAGATCAGCCCAGAGGTTGTTTCTGGGTTCGATCTGTGAGTTAGCCATGCCCTGACTAGATCAGCCCAGAGATTGTTTCTGGGTTCGATCTGTGAATTAGCCATGCCCTGACTTAGATCATCCCAGAGGTTGTTTCAGGGTTCAGTCTGTGAGTTAGCCGTGCCCTGACTTAGATCAGCCCAGAGGTTGTTTCAGGGTTCGATCTGTGAGTTAGCCATGCCCTGACTAGATCAGCCCAGAGATTGTGTCTGGGTTCAATCTGTGAGTTAGCCGTGCCCTGACTTAGATCAGCCCAGAGATTGTTTCAGGGTTCGATCTGCGAGTAAGCCATGCCCTGACTTAGATCAGCCCAGAGATTGTTTCTGGGTTCGATCTGTGAGTTAGCCATGCCCTGACTAGATCAGCCCAGAGATTGTTTCTGGGTTCGATCTCTGAGTTAGCCATGCCCTGACTAGATCAGCCCAGAGATTGTTTCAGGGTTCAGTCTGTGAGTTAGCCATGCCCTAACGTTGATCAGCCCAAAGATTGTTTCAGGGTTCAATCTGTGAGATAGCCATACCCTAACTTAGATCAGCACAGAGGTTGTTTCAGGGTT